TTCTTAATGGTTTATGAGGAAGGTCATGAATGCAAGTACAGAAGTTCAAATTCTGGTAACTTCTGACTTCATTGGACAGTTTATTTTGCGATTATTGAGTTGACTGTTGTTTCCAAATTTTAACTACAAAATGGAAGAAAAACGTTTCAAGTGACAAGTCTTTAACAACGCGCCAGGTAATAAATAATGTAGCCTTGGAGATCGACAGCAATTCGTCATAAGGCCACAGCAAGTAATTTTTATAGATGACATCAGTGTGTGCATTAATTCTCGCCTGATTTTGAAAAAAAAAATGTTGCCCTTTGACAGTGGTCAAATTACATGCCGAAAATGGGCAAAGATGTCTGTTGCCATGCCAGAAGGTGGATGGCAGATAACTATGAAGAGAGGAGAGAAGAAAAGGCTCTGTTTTGTTTCTTACTTTGATGCAGTGATATGTGGTGCTGGCTGTGTATATGTGTGTTCCCACTGAATCAAAACCATTTGTACAATGATTGCGTCAAAATTTTAAAATGTAGGAACCTTTTTTTCGGCCAGCCTTGTTTTTTTTTCGCCCGCTCGCATTAGATTTAGAGTCTGCGGAGGATGTCATCCATAAAATGTACTTGCTGTGGCCTAATTTAGATCACTCAGTAAAATATATCTTTGCATGGTCTGATTTGAGATTATGTCCTCAATTATCTTGTATCTTAACTGTCAGTGGTTGTCAGAGTATGAATAGAATGCCAGTTATTTCAAACATAATAATTAGATGGGGAGATAGAAAGATATGAGAAAAAGATTGTCGCTACCAGAATGAACAGCGCAGGTTGTCACGAGTGGTATGATCGAAATTATCGTGACTGCCGATTTTTTACTATTTCAGAAAATGTGCGGATTTTAACAATCTCTAAGCAGATCTTTCGGTGTCTGCAAAGACGGTATAAAATTGGCCAGGCAGTATCCATTTGCCAGACAGTTAACATTTGTGAGGCACACGTAAAAAAAGACACCAATACAATCAAGAAAGCCCGATTTAACGCATAAAACACACACACACACACACACACACACACACACACACACACACACACACACACACACACAAAAGCTGAAGCCCAAACCTCTGCTTGGAGAGTAGGATTTTGAGACCAATAAGACACACAGATAGCCTCCATAGCATGCCAAAAACTGGGGGTTTTGGGGGTCTTCAGGGCCTTTGGGATCTTTTATGTGCTATTTTCTTATTGCATATAGACAACATAGCCGGCCTGGTTGAATTACCCCCGTTTTTAGAACAGCCGAAGACCACCAAACCCCCAGTTCTATAAGCCTGCTACCGAGGCTAACACACAGTGCCAGCATTGTCAAGTGTCCTAGCATGACACTTCGGGAGGTTCTTACGGTTCAAATAAGACTTTTCTATAGCTGATTTCACCATGTTTTTGTTGATATGAGTTCACATCTGTACACTTGGATGAATGCGTTGCTTCTAAATCTAAACCCGCCTTCAGTTAACGCACCACCCAGTAATTACGCGACCTCTAACGATCAGTCGGAGCAATTTTACTTATCCCTGCCCTTTCAACGATTACGTGTCATCTCTAACCACGACACACCTTTTTTTCTCTCTCTCTATTGTGAAGGATGAACAAAAGAACCCGGTGTGGAAAGTTGCAGGACAAGTTTTCTCCCCCCCGAAGCCGTGTGACGTCGCTGCTTTGGGCGCGGACCACGGTTAAATGCAAGAACGTCAGAGGAAAAGGTGGCTGCTTCACGCGCACGACACAGCGCTGGACAGAACTGTATTTTTTCCTACTGGGACACTGAAAACACACAAGAAAGAAGCCCAGAAGAATTGCCAGCGACAAGGTCGCGAGTTCAACAACACGACGGCCTCCTTCCACGTCTACAAAAATAGAGGTAAGCCCTCCCCGAGTTCAAAATTACGGGGTGAGGTCTCTTCTGTCATTTCCTCATTGTGGAACATAGAAAGGAACACATGATTTTGAGTTTGATGAAGTAAATTTGAAGTTTCAGGACTTTTGTAAACCACAATCTGTCTTACAAAGATTAACGATTGATTCTGATTGATCAAAAAGCCAGTGTGCGTGTGTCATTGTTAAGTGGTGGTGTCCATTTTGTTTGAGTGTGTGCATTGTCACAGTGTCACAAGCTTTAAGCCTAAGTATACAATAGACACTGCGCTTCCTCAACCACCTGTTAATTTCTGTCTTGGGCGTTGCATAAAATGACTTTCTGTGCTTTTAACAGTTAGTAAAATGTATATGCACCGATTAAGTCCTCCCCAACACTGACAGTACTTGACAGATATGTGTAAGTACGTGTACATGCCCATAGTACGGGCACAACGTACTTTCCATGTGTCCTTTTCGACTTATATGTTAATCTCCAAGCAGAGGTTGTGAGGGAATGATCGTTAGCTTTTTATGTATGGCCGTTTTTTGTCGCTACCCCCGTCGGTGGCCGGCGACCTTCTCTGGCTAATGGATACTGCCTAGCCAATTTGATACTGTCTTTTTTGCCACCGAAAGGGATCTGCTTGGAGATTATTGTATGTCGCTGTGAGAACTTTTACATGGTAAAGGTTCTGTGTTTTTCTTTTTTTTTTAATTTCTATATGGTTAACCCTTTCTGAAAAGAACGGCACGCTTAGTTTGGGTGCGACCCAATTTTAGAGAGGGCAAAATGTATGATTAACTGTACACATACCTGTGGGTTTTGTCTCTTTCCGGTTAAAACAAGCCCATGTTACAACTACCAAAGCCATTCTAAAGACACAAGTTCAACCAAGTAACACAGAATGTGTATTTAGAAAGTGCGCGGTTGTATTTGTGAAGTGATTTTTGTTCAACATTTTGATAACAACAACAGGTAGTCTATTATCCGCCTTGTTGCTGAACGCACCACACCCAGTCAGGTCATGACGTCTCAGCTCAGGTCAACTGTAATTTGGGATTTAAAAGGGGGCGTTGAGCGCATTCTTAAGCGAATTCTTAAGCTGCTTTTGTAATTATTGTTCTTGTGTTTTTCGTCCTTTATTGTTGAGAATAGCTGTTACGTGTTTTTAACGACGAAATTTCTAATGATCTGTACTTATCCTGAGATTGTGCTTAAATCCGAGGTCGTGTGAGAGTTTCCTATGTACACAAACAGTTTATACACCTTCTATACAATGCACAGATACGTGTAGGTATTTTGCATTCGTACAGTTTTTAAAGTCGAATCCGTGGGTTGTGTGGCGTAGCGGCAGAGTGCTCGACTCGGAACCAAGAGGTCCCGGGTTCGAGTCCTGACATGCCAAGATCTTGTGTCCTTGGGAAAGGCAATTTACACGACTTTCCTCACTTCACTCAGGTGAAAATGAGTATTGTATTGTCCCCTGATAATATCAATATAAGTTGATTAAACTTGAGTGTGCCGTCACCACGTCTTGTGATTAGATGTTGGAATATATAAAAAAAAAAGTCGCAGCCGCGGTTGGACCCAAAGCCAGTAAAGAGTAAAAGAAAATCTTCATACCTACATCACTAATTTTTTTAATGAAAGTGCATGCCCATTTGCAGTTGTCTTATATAAAGAGACTGAAAGAAACCAGGCTCCTGAAAATAGTCTCCCCGAGCTTTCTTCATCTAGGAAACCACCCAAAACACATACCTAGTAAAATTACTAAATTACAACTTACAAGATTACAAATGCATGGAACTAACTAACTACTGCCTAAAAGGGGGACAAACCCCTTCAGTAAAGTACATAGAAACACCAGATAGATTTATAGACTAGATATTTTTTTACCTGTTTAGATTCTGTGTGTTACTTTACATTAGACTTCGGGTACGGATTTTATTATATTATGTAAAATAATATAAGTTGAAGGTCACTCTGCTTTTTGTTTTCAAAATCTATCCACTCGTGGTGCACGAGGTTCACAGCATACAGACAGGCACACTCATTTCCCTTCCGTCTCCCATTTGTTGGTAACATTTTTCAATGATCTACAACTGCTTGTCAAGGTTTAAGTTGTAAAATATCCGAATTGTTGTGACTACTAAGGACGAATAATTGGTGTAAATACTATAGTAGACAGGTATCTGCGTTCTTGTTGCTTGTTATTGTGTCTTTGTTTCTTTGGACCGTTTCAATGTTTGTCTAGATGAAAGACTAAGTTGTCAAGGTTTAAGTTATAAAAGATCCGTCACATAAAGGCCGGATAATTGGTGTAAATAGCAGACAGGTATGTGCCGCCATTGAGAGTCACAGGGGCCTACAGGGCCGTGGGGCGCCCCAGGACAATTCCTCCGCCAGGCGTGTCGTACCATTGTGGACCCACCCTAACAGTCACCGCGCAAAAATCACGCTTTCTCTCCCAAACCACCGCTATTTTTCCACGATTTCGGCAAATTTTGATAAGGTATGATCACACCGACGATTTTAGGCCAGGTTTTGGCGATATTTTTGCGATCCAGGTGCGCTCACCGCCCAACTCGCGCGGTGCCTTGAGACTCGACCAATTTTCTAATCCAGTGACCCGAAATAACCTGTTTTGAACAGAACTAATATATGCAAGCATTGAACCCGAAGATGTGGGAAGAAGTGTAGCCATTCATAGAGGCACGTGCATAGACAAGTGTACAACTTTACGGCTTGCACAAAAAGTACATGTTTTGGTAGAGATGCAGATGCCACACTATAATGATAGCATAAAGTGCACATAACTTGTCAATGTGGTTCATACATGCGTCTCTAACTTCTTCTGAGATCACTATCAAAAATATATCTTAAAGTTTTTTAAATCTAAGAAGACGCTTGAAAATGGGAGCTTAACAAGAAGTAGGCTAAGCGTAATGGAGATTATTCAAGAAGTTTACACACATAGCTTTTTTCTTTCTTTCACAGGAACACAGGAAACAGCACAATGAAAACTTCTCCGGCTCTTGGGCGTTGGCTTCTCTCTCTACTGGTTCTTGGGTCAACATGTAGTCAATTTGCTCAAGGTATTGATGCAACTGTTCTTCAATGTGCATTATACATTTTTTTAAGTTAAAGTTTTAACATTATTTGTCTTTCAAAGACTTCTAAATCAGCACTAAAGCAGACGCATTGTCTAGGGAAAAATTCAAAGCAAACGACAAAACATTCCACTAAGTACACATTTTTTATACTTTGCAGGCCAACCAGCTTCAACGTCTTCACAAATACCTCAAGCGTCCGCAACTTCCACGCCTACTCCTTCTCAAAGACCCTCAACAGTCAGTCCGACTGTAGCACCATCTCCATCAGTCAGTCCAACTGTAGCTCCATCCCCATCAGTCAGTCCAACTGTGATTCCATCACCATCAGTCAGTCCAACTGTGATTCCATCACCATCAGTTAGTCCAACTGTAGCTCCATCTCCATCAGTCAGTCCATCTGTAGTACCATCACCATCAGTCAGTCCAACTGTAGCTCCATCTCCATCAGTTAGTCCAACTGTAGCTCCATCTCCATCAGTCAGTCCAACTCGTAGCTCCATCTCCATCAGTCAGTCCATCTGTAGCTCCATCTCCATCAGTCAGTCTAACTGTAGCTCCATCTCCATCAGTCAGTCCAACTGTAGCTCCATCTCCATCAGTCAGTCCAACTGTAGCTCCTTCTCCATCAGTTAGTCCAACTGTGACTCCATCTACATCAGTCAGTCCGTCTATAGCTCCATCTCCATCAGTTAGTCCAACTGTAGCTCCATCTCCATCAGTTAGTCCAACTGTAGCTCCATCTCCATCAGTCAGTCCATCTGTAGCACCATCTCCATCAGTCAGTCCAACTCTAGCTCCATCTCCATCAGTTAGTCCATCTGTAGTACCATCTCCATCAGTCAGTCCAACTCTAGCTCCATCTCCATCAGTCAGTCCGACTGTAGTACCATCACCATCAGTTAGTCCAACTGTAGCTCCATCTCCATCAGTCAGTCCATCTGTAGTTCCATCTCCATCAGTTAGTCCAACTATAGATCCATCTCCATCAGTCAGTCCATCTATAGATCCATCTCCATCAGTCAGTCTAACTGTAGCTCTATCTCCATCAGTTAGTCCATCTGTAGCTCTATCTCCATCAGTTAGTCCATCTGTAGCTCTATCTCCATCAGTCAGTCCATCTGCAGTACCATCTCCATCAGTCAGTCCATCTGTAGTACCATCTCCATCAGTCAGTCCACCTGTAGCTCCATCTCCATCTGTGTCACCAACATTCAGTCCGACTGTAGCTCCATCTCCATCAGTTAGTCCAACTGTAGCTCCATCGCCATCAGTCAGTCCATCTGTAGTACCATCTCCATCAGTCAGTCCATCTGTAGTACCATCTCCATCAGTCAGTCCATCTGCATCAGTTAGTCCGACTGTAGCTCCATCAGCCAGTTTATCCCTAGCTCCATCAGTCAGTCCGACTCTAGCTCCATCTCCATCAATTAGTCAAACTATAGTTCCATCTCCATCTGTGTCACCAACAGTCAGTCCAACTGTAGCCCCATCAGTCAGTCCTACAGTAGCTCCATCTCCATCAGTCAGCCCAACTGTAGCTCCATCTACATCAGTCTCATCCCCAAGTGTGTCACCATCAGTTACAGCCTCCATGACTTCAGCACCAAGTCCATCCGTGTCACCATCAGTTACAGCCTCCTTGACTCCATTAAGAAGTGTGTCACCATCAGTTACAGGATCCGTGACTCCAGCTCCAAGTCCATCCGTGTCACAATCTGTTACAGCATCTATTACTCCAGCACCAAGTGTGTCACCATCAGTTACAGCCTCCATGACTTCAGCACCAAGTCCATCCGTGTCACCATCAGTTACAGCCTCCTTGACTCCATTAAGAAGTGTGTCACCATCAGTTACAGGATCCGTGACTCCAGCTCCAAGTCCATCCGTGTCACAATCTGTTACAGCATCTATTACTCCAGCACCAAGTGTGTCACCATCAGTTACAGCCTCCATGACTTCAGCACCAAGTCCATCCGTGTCACCATCAGTTACAGCCTCCTTGACTCCATTAAGAAGTGTGTCACCATCAGTTACAGCCTCCGTGACTCCAGCGCCAAGTCCATCAGTGTCACCATCAGTTACAGCCTCCTTGACTCCAGCACCAAGTGTGTCACCATCAGCCACAGCCTCCCTGTCTCTAGTGGCAGTTCCATCCGTGTCACCATCAGTTACAGCATCCGTGACTTCAGCGCCAAGTCCATCCGTGTCACCATCAGTAACAGCCTCCATGACTTCAGTACCAAGTCCATCTGTGTCACCATTAGTTACAGCGTCTATGACACCAGCACCAAGTGTGTCACCATCAGTTACAGCATCCGTGACTCCAGCGCCAAGTCCATCAGTGTCACCATCAGTTACAGCCTCCATGACTCCAGTACCAAGTGTGTCACCATCAGTTACAGCATCCGTGACTCCAGTACCAAGTCCATCCGTGTCAGCATCTGTCACAGCATCCGTGACTCCAGTACCAAGTCCATCAATGTCACCATCTGTTACAGCCTCCATGACTCCCGCACCAGTTGTGTCACCATCTGTTACAGCATCCGTGACTCCAGCACCAAGTCCATCCGTGTCACCATCTGTTACAGCATCCGTGACTCCAGCACCAAGTGTGTCACCATCTGTTACAGCCTCCATGACTCCAGCACCAAGTGTGTCACCATCTGTTACAGCCTCCATGACTCCAGCACCAAGTCCATCCGCGTCACCATCTGTTACAGCCTCCATGACTCCAGTACCAAGTGTGTCACCATCAGTTACAGCACCCGTGACTCCAGCACGAAGTGCGTCACCATCAGTTACAGCCTCCATGACCCCAGTACCAAGTCCATCGATGTCACCATCATTTACAACATCCGTGACTACAGCGCCAAGTCCATCCATGTCACCATCAGCTACAGCTTCCATGACTCCACCCCTAAGTGTGTCACCATCAGTTACAGCATCCATGACTCCCGCACCAAGTGTGTCACCATCAGTTGCAGCCTCCGTGACTCCAGCGCCAAGTATGACACCATCGGTAACGCCATCCGTGACTGCAGCACCAAGCGTGTCACCATCAGTAACACAATCGGTGACTCCAGCGCCAAGCGTGACACCATCGGTAACACCATCCGTGACTCCAGTGCCAGGTGTGTCACCATCACCATCCGTAACAGCATCTATGACACCATTGGTAACGCCATCCTTGACTCTAGTGCCAAGCGTGTTACCATCAGTAACAGCATCCATGACACCATCGGTAACAGCATCCGTGACTCCAGCGCCAAGTATGACACCATCGGTAAGAGTATCCATGACACCATTGGTAACGCCATCCGTGACTACAGCGCCAAGCGTGTCACCATCAGTAACACCATCCGTGACTCCAGCGCCAAGTGTGACACCATCGGTAACGCCATCCGTGACTCCAGCGTCAAGTATGGCACCATCAGTAACACCATCTGTGACTCCAGCGCCAAGCGTGTCACCATCAGTAACACCATCCGTGACTCCAGTGCCAGGTGTGTCACCATCAGTACCACCATCCGTGACTCCAGCGCTAAGTATGACACCATCAGTAACACCATCCGTGACTCCAGTGCTAGGTATGACACCATCAGTACCACCATCCGTGACTCCAGTGCTAAGTATGACACCATCAATAACGCCATCCGTGACTCCGGCGCCAAGTATGACATCATCAGTACCACCATCCGTGACTCCGGCGCCAAGCGTGGCACCATCAGTTACACCATCCGTGACTCCGGCGCCAAGCGTGGCACCATCAGTTACACCATCCGTGACTCCAGTGCCAGGTGTGTCACCATCACCATCCGTAACAGCATCTATGACACCATTGGTAACGCCATCCTTGACTCTAGTGCCAAGCGTGTTACCATCAGTAACAGCATCCATGACACCATCGGTAACAGCATCCGTGACTCCAGCGCCAAGTATGACACCATCGGTAAGAGTATCCATGACACCATTGGTAACGCCATCCGTGACTACAGCGCCAAGCGTGTCACCATCAGTAACACCATCCGTGACTCCAGCGCCAAGTGTGACACCATCGGTAACGCCATCCGTGACTCCAGCGTCAAGTATGGCACCATCAGTAACACCATCTGTGACTCCAGCGCCAAGCGTGTCACCATCAGTAACACCATCCGTGACTCCAGTGCCAGGTGTGTCACCATCAGTACCACCATCCGTGACTCCAGCGCTAAGTATGACACCATCAGTAACACCATCCGTGACTCCAGTGCTAGGTATGACACCATCAGTACCACCATCCGTGACTCCAGTGCTAAGTATGACACCATCAGTAACGCCATCCGTGACTCCGGCGCCAAGCGTGGCACCATCAGTTACACCATCCATGACTCCGGCGCCAAGCGTGGCACCATCAGTTACACCATCCATGACTCCGGCGCCAAGCGTGGCACCATCAGTTACACCATCCGTGACTCCGGCGCCAAGCGTGGCACCATCAGTTACACCATCCGTGACTCCGGCGCCAAGCGTGGCACCATCAGTTACACCATCCGTGACTCCGGCGCCAAGCGTGGCACCATCAGTTACACCATCCGTGACTCCGGCGCCAAGCGTGTCACCATCAGTAACACCATCCGTGACTCCAGCGCCAAGCGTGGCACCATCAGTTACACCATCCGTGACTCCAGCGCCAACTCCACCAGTGAGCGCTACCTCGACTCCGTCGATGAGTGCATCCATCTCTGTCATGCCCAGTTCGACCCCACTTCCACCTTCGTCATTGCAGCCAAGTCCATCAATGGTAAATTGGTTGTGCATGTTTTTGTTACATTGTTTTATCTTTTAATGAATAGATTTCTTGTTTTATCATTTGTCGTTTATTTTTACCATGACTTACAATGTTCAACAATATTTTAACAGATGAGGACTGCGACTGTCACTCCATCTTCAGCTATTCCAACAACGTTCCCTCCGGTCGTGTTTGTTCCAGAAGGTAAGATAATATACATACTTAACAAGATTCTAGACTCCCAAGAAGTATTTTGGAATTTCGCGACCTTTTAAAAAGCTTTAAAAAGCTCACAGACTTTCGTGAAGTGTCTTGGGCTTTTTTTTAATGTGTTGGGACCGTGGAGGGGATCGTATGATGTAATCGAGTATAATACTGCTCCCTGAATTCTTCTTCATGCGTGTGCTCGGTCACCCTCGGGTGACGTCCCCATCAATCAACTGCCAAATCACCTCCCACCCACCATGAAACCCAAGCAATTAGTGCAGAGAGACAAAACCACATTCAAGTCGATATTTACATCGAAACGCATGAAAATGACATTTAAAGATGTCGTGTAGCCACTCTTTACGTTGAAACAATTTAAAAGCCTGTTTATATAATCGTTTATACTTCATGTCTTGCTACAGTTGACGTCAACGCTGGCCGTGTCATCCCGGCGAATGCTGCCCCGCCGGTGTTCTCACCCGCTGGGGACGTGCCAACTTCGCTAGACGTCGCCATCGCCAACCCCTCCAACAAGGCTATCCCTCCAAATCCGAGCGGCGACAACTTCAACATGGTCGTCTTCCTCGCCAACAGTAACAACCTAGACACGGCGAGCCAGAAAACAGGGCCGTACCGGATCGAACCGGATCCTACCGGGGCCAATACGCTGAGGTCGGGGAGTACCGGCCAACCGGAGAACTGGTCTTCAACAACGCGACAGCCCTGGTCAGGATTCCCTCTAGCGAGTGCAGGGAGTACTCCAACATGTGTGTCGTCATCACCCCAGCGGAAAGCGCCACGTTCAACGACTCCGTCACCGCC